ACAGTTAGAGGCCTGTATTAGACATGAATGGGAGAGCATTCCTATTTGTAAACTTGAGAAACTGGTCTCCTCTGTCCCCAGACGTCTGTTGAGTGTTGTAAGAAGAAGGGGGGATGCCACACAGTGGTAAAAATGGACTTGTCCCAACTTTTTTGGGATTTGTTGACGCCATGAAATTTGGAAACAACAGATTTTTCCCTTAAAATGATACATTCTCTCAGTTTAAACTTTTGATCTGTGATTTGTGTTCTATTCTGAATAAAATATTAGATGTTGGCACCTCCACATCATTGCATTCAGTTTTTATTCACAATTTGTTTAGTGTCCCAACTTTTTTGGAATCCGGTTTGTAGATAGGATGATGTGTTAGGACAGAATCCACTTTTGTGATTGTCTGAAGTCCACCTTTTCTTTGACAGAGGGCACCGGCAGGCTCTTCTTTGAGTACTACCGCATCCTGCAGCTGCTGATGCCCAAAGAGGAGGATACTCGGCCGTTCTTCTGGCTGTTTGAAAATGTCGTGTTCATGAACACACATGACAAAGTCAACATCTGTCGTTTTTTGGAGGTTTGCTCTGTTTACTTCTAAATGTTTAGATTTGTAATTAGGGATGTACCAATACAGGTATCAGTATCAGGTATTGGTCATGTACTCTGAGCATGTACTCATACTCATTAAAGTGTTCTGATACCATATTATAACAGTGTGCCATTCACCTCTCGGGAGCAGTCAGGTTGTGGAGGAAGAGTAATATCAGTCATGTGAAAGAAGTATTTTTTTAGTTGACATCCTGAACTACATTCCTTATTACTGTAGTTGATGGAAGTAATGAACCATAAAGTTGTTGGTCCCCACCAATAAAAACCAGAAGAAGAAGAAATGAAAGCTGACGACTACTGTAAAGTGGACTACAGTTCTGCCCAACAAAGCTTTCAAGAGGTTGGACCAAATCTGGAACTTTCAGCACAAACAATTTGATGAAACATCTAAAACACCACAACAGAGTTCTGAGAGTTTGCAAATGGGAAACAGCAGCCTTCTGTGTGTTGTAAATAAAGCTAGGACACATTGAACAATTTTCTGTCTTTACAGAAACACTAATAAACTAGTTTCAGCAGATTGGCATGATTTACAAGTGCACCTAAAAAAAATAGAATATTGTGAAGTTCAATTGTCCTTGTCAATCATTTCAGAAAGTTAAACTCATATATTAGATTCATTACATTGAGTGAACTATTTCAAGCCTTTATTTCTTGTAATTTTAATGATTGTGGCTTACAGATAATGAAACAACAAAATTCAATGACTCAGAAACTTATAGTATTCCACAGCCAGCTTTTGGTACCTTTGGAAGTTTGGGCAGGACCAAGTCCTGCTGGAAAATGAAACCAGTATCTCCATAAAGCTCGTCAGCAGAAGTAAACATGAAGTGATCTAAAATGTCCTGGTGAATGCTGCATGGACTGTGGACTTCAGAAAACCCAGTGGGCCAACACCATTGTGTGGATGTGGAAACTTCACATGGGACTTCAAGCAACATGGATTCTGGACCTCTCCACTCTTCCTCCAGAATCTGGGACCTTGATTTATAAATGACATGAAAATTTATTCATGTTCATTCAGTTTTTCTGAAAAGAGGACATTGGACCACTGAGCTACAGTCCTGGGGCCTCATGTACAAAGACTTGTGCTGATTTCCTACTTAAACATGGCGTATGCTTAAACTGAGAAAATGGTCTATGCACAAATACAGTGTCAATCCAGATGTATGAAACCGTGTGCACGCATGAATCCAAGCACACTTCTTTTGTACATCCCATTCAGTGTGGAATTGAGAGCACATGAGGGAATACTGGACTCCTCCCTTGACACGCCTCAATTTATATATGCAAATAGATTTAAATCTGCTCTGCACCTGAAGAATCTCATCTCTGCACTACTGAGAAGCATGTCTACAGACAGGAAAAATGTAAATTCATGGAATGGGAGTTGGAGACGTTTCTAAATGCAGTAGAGGTATGTAAAAACATTCTGTTTGGCACACTGTCCTCTGGCAATAGCGTCAAGCGCAAGACGAGTGAGTAGGACAATGTGTGCAAAGTTGTAAATGCTGTGGTCAGAACAACTCACACCCACAAAAATTAATAAGATATATTAGGGCGATTAAATTAATTTACTCTCCAAGAAGCCCCCCATCCCACACCATGCCAGCTTGTAGTCTGTTCCCAACCATGATGTTCATTAGAATGAATTTTGCTTATTTATTAACCTTTACTTAATCAGGCAAATCCCATTGAGATCACAGATCTCTTTTGCATTTGAGGCCTGGGCCTGAAGGCAGCCTAACATGCATGTTTTTGATCTGTGGGAAGAAACCAGAATACACTGTTTTGCTTACCCGAGTGAGGTAGACACAGGACACGTGCCATGCCCTCACTGCAGCCTTTCTCCTCCAAGGGGTCTAAAACTAATCCTGAGACTCAGGTATTACCTGTAGCTGATTTTTCAGGACAGTCTAGTTCAAGGCTGTGTTGAGATGATTCACCCAGACTGTTAACTACCTCCGATCCTTGCACCACACCCAAAGTTTCACCTCGTGCCTCGCCCGACCTAGCAGCAGGAGTGGGGACGTTTAGCAGACGAGGAAGTGCAAGTTAACGGTAGCTCATCTCCTGATTTAGCGTTGCAATTGTTAACCGATCTGGCTTTGTTTAGAATCTAGGCATAAGACTCTTGGATGTTGTTTTATAATCTAAAGCTAGGAAACCGTTTAAAACCTCCCGTGCTTCTGTTGTTTCTCTGAACCAAGTTTTCCACTTCCATGAACAAAGGGGTGTTGAAATAAGCATACAGAATTTTACGTTTTGCTTTGCTTTAATCAATCATTTTTGCAGGGGAACAGCGGTATGCACAGTAACGGTTACATTCGATTACAAAGAGGTTACATGATGAATAATATTCATTCCTTAGTCACTTTCCAGTTGTTGACCTTTCCTGGGCAAGGTAGATTTCTGTCCCTGTGGAGGACTTGAGGATAGCTTGTGGACTCCACTCTGTTCGGCCTCAGATGTCTTCCTTCTGGCCGGCCACGCCCTGACTCACTCAGGCGCACCAGACCTCCCCACAATTTGCCCACACTCTCTACCTGACCCAATACGTTATTTCTCAATGCAATGACAACCTTTCTGCAACTCTGAGCAACCAGATTTATAATATAATTGATCTTTTTGCTTGCCAATTCATGCACTGCCGCCTTAATTTGGAATAAGGTTTTATTAAAGACAGTTACGTGATAATCTTCAAATTAAATTATCTGTCTGAAGAGTTCCAGTCAGGTTTTAAAGCTCACCACAGCACTGAATCTGCACTGGGGAAAGTTACCAAATATATTCTCATGGCCTCAGACAATGGACTGGTGTCTACACTGGTCCTGTTAGACCTCAGTGCTGCATTTGATACAGTTGATCATAATATTCTATTACGGAGACTTGATTATGATGTTGGAATTACAGGAACGGCTCTAAATTGGTTTAAATCATATCTATCTGATAGATTCCAATTTGTAAATGAAAATAATGAATCTTCATCTTACACCAAAGTTAGTCATGGAGTTCCTCAAGGTTCAGTGCTTGGACCAATACTCTTTACCTTGTATGTGCTTCCCATTAGGTAATGTTATTAAACAGCAAGGGATAAATTTTCATTGTTATGCTGATGACACACAATTATATTTGTCCAAGGAACCCAATGAATCCAATCAGCTACTTGGACTACAAGCATGTCATAAAGACATAAAAACCTGGATGACCCTTAATTTTCTCCTGTTGAACTCAGACAAGACTGAGGTTTTGGTTTTTGGACCTGAGCACCTTAGGAATTAATTTTTCAGTCTTTCTCCCTCCTTAGATGCATTAATCTGTCCTCCAGCTCTAATGTTAAAAATCTTGGTGTTATTTTTGATCAGGACATGTCTTTCATCCCCCACATTAAAAACGTTACTAGAACCTCCTCCTTCCACCTGCGTAATATCACTAACATTAGAAACATCTGATCTAAAAATGATGCAGAAAAACTGGTCCATACATTTGTCACGTCTAGACTGGACTATTGCAATGGTTTATTATCTGGGTGTCCAGATACTTCTTTAAAACGTCTTCAGTTGATCCAAAATGCTGCTGCCAGAGTCTTAACTGGAGTTACTGGGAGAGATCATATCTCTCCAGTTTTATCTTCCCTCCACTGGCTCCCTGTCAAATCCAGAATAGAATTCAAAATCTTATTTCTAACCTACAAAGCTCTCAACAACCTAGCTCCATCTTATATTAAAGATCTTATTGTTCCATATTTTCCTAACAGAGCACTTCACTCTCAGACTGCAGGCTATCTCGTGGTCCCTATAGTTTCTAAAAGCAGAATGGGAGGAAGATTTTTCAGTTCTCAGGCTCCTCTCTTGTGGAACCAACTTCCAGTTCCTGTCCGTGAGACTGACATATTGTCCATTTCTAAGACAGGGCTTAAGACTTTCCTTTTTGATAAATCTTATAGTTAGGGTTGGCTTGTTATGTTGCCTTAAGTTTAGACTACTAGAGGACAAATTGACCTCATTTCCTTAAATTAATTGTTAAAATTGAATAGTTTTCATTTGATACAATTTCTATCTTAACGTGATTCTTGACCTGCCATTGTGTATCTATTCCTACCAAACCCAGCTGGTTGAAGCAGATGGTCCTCTTGTCCTGATCCTGGTTCTGCTAAAGGTTTCTTCCTCATGAGGGAGTTTTTCCTTTCCACTGTCGCCTTCATGCTTGTTCAAGATGAGAGTTCTGTGATGGAGTTAAACTCAAAGCAGTCTGCTTCTCAGTTAAAGTATTAGATTAATATTTTATATATGGATGTTTCTGTTAACTTACTTTTTCATATGGATGTTTCTGTTCAGTGCTCTGAGATGACTTCTGTTGTGATTTGGAGCTATATACCGTAAATAAACTGAACTGAAATTGAATTGGTATTGTTGCATCCCTGTTTGGAGCCTATAACCTTCAGCAGTCCCTTCTTTTCATTTTTTTTTTCATTCTTTTAACTTTTTGATTCTTTTTTTCTTTAGTTGGCCATTTTTCACAAAGTGTTTAAAGTTTACTTACTTCTGTTTTTGTACCATTCTAACAACCATTGCTGCATTTGTTGACAGTGTAATCCAGTACTGGTGGATGCTGTCAAAGTGAGCCCTGCACATAGAGCTCGATACTTCTGGGGAAACATACCTGGGATGAGCAGGTAAGACTTTGTCTCTGGTCAGATCCAGCTGTTACCATGGAAACATGGAAGGCACTTAATGACATGTAAAGATGGATAACAAAAAGTTTTGGTTTTAGGATTTTGAACCATTATTTGTTTTGTTCATTATTTTCCACCACCAAAAGGCAAAGGAGGGATGATAACACTTTTGTTTGTGACTTTCTGTTTGTTAGCTAAATATCTCATAAACAATTGGAGAAATTTGAAAAAAATGTAATAATTTGATTTCCTTTACAACTAATTAATTGTAGGAGTCACTCCAAATCAAAATGGCTGCCACAACCAGTTGACCCTAAAAAACAACAAAGGCCTATACATCAGTCAAAGTTACAGGGATGGCGATAACGTTTGGTGGGGTAGTAGCTGAGACTGGTCCCCAACACATACAGGTGAAACCAGATGTTTGCATACACCGTATAAAAAGACAAAACGTTGGTTACGTACTGTAACCCCAGATTCTATGAGTATAGGCGCAGCCCTTTAAGGCTGTTGCTGGTGGGTTTATCCCTTCGCGCGCAGCACTGAAAACTTTAGTTCACGCCCACCCGCAGTGTGGGTCTCACCCCCCGTCCGTATAAATTACAGTGAGACTGGGTAATCGGCTCCCAAATAGCTTTTTTTCTTCAGCCATTTAGGAACCAGTGAGGCCCAGAGCTTAAAGGGCTGCCCCTATACTCATAGAATCTGTGGTTACAGTACGTAACCAACGTTCTATTTCATATAGGTTTCGCCCTTTAAGCAGGATGTAGTCTATGCCTCACTGGGTCCATTCAGACACAATATGAAGCGCCCGCTTGCACCAAAAAACATTTCTTCACTCAACAATCTGTGTGCGTAATTACGTGCTGCGTAATTACGCGTTCCATGCACAGGAGCGCCCCGGAGAGAAAAGGTCTCTGACAGGGAAAAAAGGGAAGGCTGAAAAGCAGTCCTGCTGCTGTGAATGGAAAAGAACAGAGGTTACAAATTGTAACCGTGTAACAGTGAGCAGAGCAGGTCAACAGCTCTTCAATCTGAACTGATTAATAACAATTGAACTGATTAGTAATCAAATGAACTGATTGGTAACAGTAGTCATGAACTGATTAGTAACAATAAAAGCAGCAGTTATGAACTTGTGACTGATAATAAATATCTTGCACTGTAATTGCATGCAGTCAGATGTGAGTTTAAAACGAAATTCCATGAAACAAGTAAAATTCATTCTGTTAGAACACTGAGAACAGAATGGGTCATAGAGAAAGCAGAAACATCACGCAGATAGAAGTGAATAAGTGAACAAGGCGATGCCCAAGCGGCCGCCGTACAAATGTCCTCCACTGTCATCCCTCCATGCAAAGCTGTAGAAGATGCAATTCTTCTGGTGGAATGAGCTCTGAGATTCTCTGGAGGCTCCAATCCTGATGCCCTGTAGCTTCAGAAATGGCCTCACACAGCCAGTGTGAAAGGCGCTGAGTGGATAATGGGTGGTCTGCAGAGATGTCCCTATAATGCACAAATAGACGCTGAGTCTGTCGCAGAGGAGCCGCGCGTGCTATGTAACGTCAGCGGAGGATGATGAATTGATGCTTCCTCCTCTGATTTGTGAGGGGGGGGATAAAACCCCTCCAATGTTATCATTCTCGATTTAAATGAACTTGTGATGTTTTTTGGTATGAAAGCTGGGTTAGGTCTCAGCGCAGCTGAGCTGCCATTAGCTTGAATCCTGAGGCATGAGGGGGCAGCAGAGAGCGCAGATAAATTGTTCACTCTCTTTACTGATGTCAAAGCCAACAGCAGGGCTGTTTTAAGTGACAGAAATTTAAGTGACACCTGATCTAAAGTCTCGAAAGGAGCTTTGATCAGAGCTCGCAGAACCATCGTTAGGTCCCACTGTAGAGCTAGTGGGCGTGACGCCGGTCTGTGTCTCCGTACACCTTTTAGGAAATACTTCATCAGCGGGTGATTACAAACTGTTCTGTCACTGAAGTCCTCGTGACAAGAAGAAATAGCCACAGCATAAGGCTTAATTGTGCTGAAAGTTAGATTTCTGTCCATGAGCTGCTGCAGAAAGGACAGCACGCCACCTAGTGGACATGAGATGGCCTCCACACCTTTTTCTGTGCACCAGCGCTGAAAAGCTGTCCACTTTGATGTGTACAGCGATGTGGTGGAAGCAGCTCGCACGTCTTGGATTTTGCGCACCACTTTTTTTTTTTTTTCCCCCCCTTGTCCTGTCCGGCATTGTGACACTTAGAGTCTAACCCGTCTAAAGTCTAACCCGTGCTCTTGAAAGTAGTCCCTGAGGATAAAAGTTCTGTTGGTAACAGATCTTGCGTTGACCAAATACATCCGGATACTGTCCAAAGTGGACCCAGCAGCGGTGGGGAGAGCATGCAGCAGTGGACAAAGGTTTTCAATAACAGCCCCTCCGGGTCAGCCCGTGCGCCACACCGGCCGACAACTCCCATTGTTTACCTGTTCCGGGCACACGGGAAGCTGGTGATGGAAACCCTGACCACCAGCTGGAGAGGAAGATGCAGCGCGCAGGGCTTTAAGATTTACCAGCCGCCCAGCAAGTTTTCCCCGGCGTCTGGAGCGATATCTCCGGGCAGACAGGTGGAGAGCGCAGCGGAGGTAAGCTGGCACGTCCGCCAGCAGCGGGAGAAGAGGGGGGGTCCAATGGTATGCTCATTATGCTCCAAATAAGTGACATCGGCGGCAGAAAAACAAAGATCCAGCAACTGTTGTCGGTCATACACCAGCAGCGAGTTTATGTCCCAGATGAAAAACTAACAAAACACAAATAATCCGAACACCATCAGCAGCGGTGGATTGCAAGCCATGTACACGGGCGCCATCTTACCGGAAGTTGAACCCATCCATCCATCCACCCCCTTCTTCCTTTTCGGGTAGCGGGAGTTGCTGGTGCCCATGTCCAGCCATCACTGTGCGAGATGCGGGGGACACTCTGGACAGGTCGCAAGTCCATTTCAACCGGCGGGTCAGCAGACACGCACGGTTGGTGACAGCTGTCCATCTGAGCTTAATGTGGCTTTTTTACCTCTTAAACTGGCCAGTCAGACCTGCCTCCTCCTCAACAAGTAGATTAACACAGTTTTATATTGTGCATTCTTTAGTTTTCTTTAGTGCTGATTCGTAAAACCACATCAAAGCCTGAGACTGGCCCGGACCGCACATTAAGCAGATTATATGGACCGGCCCTGTCGTGACAATGCAGCGCGTTAACATCATATCCGGAAGATGTCTGTAAATTTCAGCTAAATCTCAGGCTTTGGTTATCCTTTGTTAATGCGCCACATAAAAAGCAGACGTTGGAAGTAATTTATTTGTTACACGTGGCCCTTAGGTAAAACTAATCCCGTGCTGTTCTATGAAATTATCTTTAACAAGATAGATACAGGTTAGGGAAAGGTCGGAGCAATGAATAAAAACTCTCAAAATAAACTCTCAGGCTGTTTTCTGC